CAAATTTTTTTTTGTTAATAACTTTTTAACGAATAACGAGCGACGGCTAAAATAATATATAATGAAAAATAAAAATACCGAAGATTACATAGAAATAGCCTGTGGCGGTGCCCCTTCCCCCGCATAATAAAACTAAACAAACTCCCGGCGTAATACCTAACTGCTTGAATCAAGACGCTTGGTTATTCTGCACGATTGATTCATTTAAAATTGGCGCAGTTTTACATACGCGTGCGGCTACTGAGCATGCGCGTGTGGTCACAGGGCATGGTCGTAGTCGCTGCATCTCGTCGGTATGACAGAAATCATAACCTGATTCCTTTCAACTTTAACCGTTGGGGAGTTGCGTGATGACCGCCGTAGCGAACACACGCGTTTTAACCTAGCTAGGATTCGCGAAAAGTTTTACCCAATTTTAGGCTTATTTATAGTTAAGGGAAGTAGTTTGGGGATCCGTGAGGGTTATTACCGATAGCTAGGATAGCGAAAAAAAAGGGGAGAATGTCAATTTCCCCCCGTGAAGGGGGGAATAAGATCTTTTCGGGGCCAGGGAAGATGAAGGCCAAACAGAAGGCGAAAACACCGACAAAGATACCGATGAGTGCTGTAAAGAAAACAGCAATGGAAAATACAGCAGCCAGGATAATAAACGAGAAGAAGAGGATGGCTGAAGACGGACAGGATTGTGTGGAAGTAGACACACAAGAATTTTCACAGGAGGAGGGAGATTGGCATCTGGTCGAGCCGAAAAAGATGGCGAAGGATAAGCGCGCCAAAACACAGGAACAGACTACTGTGAAGACTGGCAACAAGGAAGACGACCAATCAGGTAATGATGACGTCAACTCGGAAGAAATGATCCACGAATCAGGTAATGTCACCACGGAAGACCCTAGATACGAAACGGCGAGTGAGATAGAAATAGAACCGTTAGACTCGGTCGTGATGCAACACGCGAATACCTCGTGTAAAGTTGAATTAAACTCAAGCGTGAAAGATAAACGAAATACGAGTATGTCGGACAGTAGCAGATCAACGAATAGAACGGCACGGAAAATCTTTGAGAATCGTGCGGGCGTGCTGGAAAGAATCAATGAGCTGGATGCATCAGAACTAGCTAACCAGAAACAGGTTAAATTTAAAGAAGGGACCAATGTTACATATAGATTAGTTCTAAAACTAAATAAAGATAATGTACAGTGGGAGCATAAATGAGAACTCATTTATGCTCCCCATTGTACAAACAAAGAGAGGTAAGAATAGATTTAAAATATGGAAAATAGCGACAAGGGAACAAGTTTTCCCGAAAGATATCTTAATGCTATCGCACACAACGGCTATTTGTAAATTTGACGACTGTACTAATGCAAACCTTTGTTTAAAGGGTATTAATAAACTAACCAAGGAAACTGGAATATCAGCAGAAATCGACCAGAGGGGATCGAAATTTGTCGGGGTAATCTTGGACTGGGGAGATAGCATTCCAGAGCTATGGAAGTCGATGGACGACCATGACGATGTCATTCGAATTGCAAGGATGTACAGGAAAAAGTGGGACAAGGAAAAGAAGATTTTGACGGAAGAGGACACAGGCAATTTGATAATTACGTTCACGGGCGACAAAGTCCGTAAAAACATGGATATGTTCGGACGTAGAACGGCGATAAAAATTAGACCATTTATAGCATCGGTCAAACAATGTTTTAAGTGTTTCAGATTTGGACACATTAAAGCTCTGTGTAAAAGCAAAGAGAGATGCATAATATGTGGAGAATTGGCACACGGAAACTGCACGAGAGAAACAAAGTGTAGAAATTGTGGAGGTAACCACAGATCTACATGGAGAAAGTGCATAGAATACGAAAAGAATAAAAACATAAATCTAGCCATGGGAGTGAACAACGTATCACGTATGGAAGCAGAAAGGATATTGGCAGGAAAGGAACAAGATAAAATACAAGAACAAACATACAACAGATATGAAGCACCTGCCCAATGGCCAAAACTTACTCAACCAAGACAAAAGATGGAGGGAAGATGGGAACACCCACACACATCTAGAAGAGTAATAACATATGAAGAAGATAGGAAGAAAACAAGTCTTTATAAAGACAAATTAATAACGCAGAAGAAACAAGATAATTACTATAAACAATTTGACAATAGAAGTGAAGAAATTACAAAAGACAGGAGAGGTATTGCACTCAAGAAAGCGGAAAGACAATCAGAAAGCTGGGACAAGGAGACATCAAAGGAAGAATCGGAGAATATAGGCTGGAGCAATGATGACGATGTCATTACAAACCTAGCAACGAAATTAAAAAACTTGAAATTTAGGAGAACTATATTGGAAATGATCTAAGAACTAGAATCAAAGGAACATTATAAAGTCAAACAAGACTTAATACGGAAGAAAAGGGAATTAAAACTAGAGGAAAAAATGCAAAATCAAAGAACGATGATTAGCGATATGAAAAGAAAGTTTAAAAGAGAACAAGAGCAACAGATAGAGCGTTATTTTCACAGAAACAAAGTGTAATAAAAATAATATTTATATACCGGGTTTTAAATCATATAGTAAATTAAGTAGAGGTAATAGTGGAGGAGTTACTATTAGTATCAAAGATAATATAGAGTTCGAAATCATAAATGGTTGGCAAAAGGTAAACGATATTTTTGATATTATAGGTATAAGAACTATTAATACAAAAGAAAGATTTAATATTGTTGCAATATATAAAAGACCAGGAGAAATAACAGATAGGATTTGGAAGGACATATTTAAATTTGAGACAAAAAATTTAGAGACGATTTTTGCAGGCGATTTTAACGCTCATCATACATTATGGAACTGTTATGATATAGATAAACAAGGAGAATATTTATATGAAAATATGTATGATAATGACTACATATGTGTTAATTTAAATACATTAACAAGAATGGGAGCAATAGGACAACGTTCAAATAATTTAGATTTATTTTTTGCTTCAGCCAAAATATATGATAATATAGAATACGAACAAATAAACGATACTTGTGATTCAGACCATCACCCAGTATTATTACGGTTAACAACTGAAGTAGAGAGTTATAAGAAGAAAACAAATAAATTTTCGACTAAAAAAACTAGATGGAGTGAGTTTAATTATACAATGAATAAAATAATCCAGGACAACATAGAAGAATACAAAGAAACACTATTTGGAAATAAGGTCAACAGGGAAGAAAAATATTCAACTTTTATCAAGATAATTAAATCAACTGTTGAAAGCATCACGGAAGAGAGAAGAGTAACAACAGAAGAACAAAAAAAAAAGAAGAACAGAAAAAAAACCCAGAGGAAGAAAAGTTCAATGGTGGGATGTTGACTGTGATGAGGCAATAACAAGAAGACAAAGAGTGTTAAAAAATTTCAAGAAGAAGAAAGATCTCCATTCATTAGCAGAATATAATAAGAGAAAAGCGGAAGCAAAGAAGATCATAAACTCAAAAAAAAGAAAGAGCTTCGATAATTTTTGCGCATCAATAAATAGATTCACGAGCCAGACATATGTCTGGAATAAAATGAGAATTTTCAAGAACGTTAAAAAGAAGATAAACTGGAATAGCTGGAAAGATAAAAACAGAGAAGAAGAAATAAGAAAAGAAATTGGAAAATTAGCACCACCAAGTGTTCAAGTAGAAATGATAGACCAAGAAGGAAATCAAAATATAGAAGACAGTCTAGAAGATAAATTTACAAGAGAAAAACTAAGAAAAGCATTGCAAATAATAAAAAAAAATTCAGCACCAGGAAGAGACGGAGTATGCTGTCTTTCTATGCTAATATTGTATGCTGAAGGACCTAACTGAAGAAATGGAGGAGGTACTGCTGGATATATGTAATGAAGTATGGACCACAGATTGGTTCCCGGAAGATTGGAGGAAATATCAAACGATGTTCATAGACAAGGCTGGAAAAGAAAAAGTCAGACCAATCGCACTATCATCTTGTGTAGGAAAAATCATGGAGAGAATGGTGAATGAAAGAATGGTTTGGTGGGCGAAACGAAATAACAAGCTTGCTAGGGACCAGAATGGATTTAGGAGAGGCAGGTCATGCGCAGAAAATTTGGTCAGGTTAACAACAGATATAAGGAACGGTATTTATACAAATCAATATGTTCTAGCAGTCTTTTTAGACGTTTCCTTAGCATATGATAATGTAATTCATAGTATATTAATGGCAATACTAAAGAAACTTAATTGTCCAGTAAATATTAGAAAGTTCATAGGTAAATGGTTGTATTATAGAGACACGGAATTTATTATTAACGGACAAGAATCCGAACATAGAAGAGTTTATAGAGGCTTACCGCAGGGAGCAGTACTTAGTCCCTTGTTATATGCGCTATATACATATAATGTAACTAATAAAGAACAGGTAGAATATGAGTCAGTACAATTTGCAGATGATATAGCAGCATATGTCAAGGGACATAATAGAGACAATAATACACGCATATTAGAAAAGGCTGTGAATAGTATTAATGAAAAACTAATGGAGTTAGGACTCCAACTAGAACCAAAGAAAACAGTATTGATACAAACATGGAGGCTGTAATAATACTTATATAGAATTAAAAAATACTAAGATATATGCACAAACAGAAACGAAATTTTTAGGAATCTGGCTAGATAGTAAACTAGAATTTATGAAACAAGTTCAAGAAGTAAAAGGTAAAGTTAGTAAAGCAAATTCATTAATGGTGTATTTGAATAAAAAATCTAAAGGTATAGAAGTTAACACAGTTTTAATGTTGTATAAAAGCTTGATTAGATCAATAACCGATTATGGAAATTTTGTATATTTTCCAAAAAGAGCAGATCAAAAATTGAAAATGGAAAGAACTCAGTATCTAGGAATACGTACAGCGTTAGGTTATAGAAATAGCACACCAAACAACGTTATCGTAGTGGAAACTAAAGTAACTTTACTCAGGGATAGAGCAAAACTATTAGCTAGAAATTTTCTAAGTAAGATTAGTGTATATGGAGAAGAAGACTTATGTACAAAAATTGAGGAGTTAGTACAAAATGAAGACTACGCTAGATATAGGCAACCATTATACCAAAGAAGTATTATAGGAAGGGCATGGAGAAGAATTAAATGGTGTAGAAAGAAGATGGGAGTGAGAAGAAAATTTGAAATATTCGATATGGAATATGATATGGTTACACAAAAAATAGACATAGATTTAAGTACCGGATATTGTCGTAAGAGAAAGGGAGTGACGGATGCTCAACTAATGGAAAAAATCAAAAATACTCATGGCTGGAAGAAGGATTCACCATAATATACACGGATGGATCGAAGAAGAAAGGTGGCAAATCATTGGGCGCGAGTGTGGTGATAGAGGAACAAGAAGAGGCATACAATATTAGTATATTGAAGAATTGTTCGACGTTCACCGCAGAAGCAATAGCAATTAAGGCTGCCTTAGAAATTATGGAAAAAGTAGCCGACAACAGACCAAGAGATATAGTAATCCTATCAGATGCCAAAGCAGTATTACAAGCAATTAATAATAATCATCTAAGTGTATATAAAAACAGATATATTAGTGAAATCAGAGAGAGACATTACAGACTCTCTAAAGAAAAAAAGAAAAGGATAATCTATGTGTGGATACCATCACATGTGGGAATAGAAGGCAATGAGTTAGCAGACAAATTAGCGAAGGAAGCGACAGAAGAGGAAGAAGACGAATTTATAGAAGTTCCATTTCTGGATTTTCGACAAGAATTCAGACAGGAAATTTGGAACAAAACTCAAGATTCCATAGTTAAGGATGCAAGTTATAAAGGCATCTATTATTTACAAAACTTCTATAAAAGGAAAAGGAAAAAACCATGGTTCCATGGGATGAATGAAGAAAGATACTTTATAACGCTAATTAACCGACTGAGGAGCAACCATTATAACGTCAACGAGTCACTGGCAAGAAAGGGATATATAGAGGACGCCAGGTGCGATTGCGGTAAAGAGTGCGAGAGTATTGATCACGTGCTGTGGAGATGTAGCATGTACGACGAGGAAAGGGAGACACTGGACAGGGACTTTAGACGGAGAGGAATAAATGAAGAAATAGATATCACAAGGACGCTTAAGAGAAAGGAATGGATCACTATTAGGAGTATATATAATTATATAAAAAGAATAGGAAAAATCATCTAGTTAAGAAGACAATCACAATCTGGGTCAAGCATCGTTGTGTCGTATGGTTCCGGGGTGGGACCGAAGGCACTAAGTTTCTCTCAGCCGAGAGAACTAACCTCAAAAAAAAAAAACTTTAACCGTTAATATCTCGCTTCGCGGGGCAGAGCGACACTTTTTTCTGCCAGATTCGGTCGTTTCGTGCAAAAACGCGTCGATTGAGCCCAAGTTGAACGAAATCGGTGAGGAGGCCACTATTCTTCAGATTTACCATGCCTCTTTACCTGGCAATGAATGTTAATACTGACTGATTGTATATATTCGTATTACATGCGGAGAGACCTGAAATGTGCTCCAATAAGTCTTGATTATACATGTTCAGCCAGTTAGACTGTTCGAGTTAATGTTTAAATATTATTGATTTATTGCATGACATGTGTGAATTGACTTGGAGTCATATTGGCCAAGTTTTTCACTGCTTCAGGACACTGGAAGGAGAAACAGGAAGAAATAAAATACTATACACATCTATATCTTTATTTAAACAATTTATTTATTTTGCTACTCTCGAATTTATACAATTATGTACAGATCTGTTCGTTTCGTCTTGTTTAATAGGTAATTAAATGTCTTTGTCACTTTTCCTAATTTTGCACTATTATTTATATTTGTACCTATCTATCCTATCCTAATGTTAAATGGTAAGTGATAAACTGAATTATTATTTTTCACAATCTTTGAATTTGTGTTTACATATAACTTTGGTTATGTTTTTGGGATCACACACGCTTCTTCTTCTTCTTCTTCTATTTCGTTGGCTCCTGCCTCTTTTCAGAGGACAATACGGCCAGTATTTGCCACTGTTTGTTATACAAAGTCTGGAACACTTTAGCGTAGCGAAGTCTGAATGAAAATACCAAAAATCTGAGTAGAAACTACTGCTGATACTGCAGACAGTCAGTCGCAATACTTTCAAAAATTTTTCCTGCCGGACAAAACACGTCCGAACAGGTCCGCACACGTTCTGAGAATTAGGGATCACACACGCGATTTACATTACACTAGACACTACAGACGCGCGCTTCGCGCGCGCTATTTAGCTTTAACATTATGCTATTATATAATAATTGCGACACGACGCGGGACGATTAACCTCGCGACACGACGCGAGCTGTCACATCATGACACACACGAGACGCACTACACGCACGAAACTCGCCACACTCCGCGATGACAGTCCCTCACGGGATGAAGCAAGCTACGGCGCGGCAATCAATCGAGATAACCAATCGGCATCGCGGAAAAGAGGCTTCAATTTTTCGATACAAACGAAATTCATTCAGTTAACACGCCTTTTTTAAAAGTGGATTTGTACTCACAATATGCAATGCATAGAGTGGAAACACGCCTACCAAATCTGGTAACTTTTGGCAATTACGTGTGATCCTCATGTACTGGCGTATGCACATGTAGTATCACAGACTGAGGATACGATTGGCTGATGCACATAACGGGATGTTATTTTGTGCGCTTTTAAGATAAAGCGGGGAGCACACACTTCTGCATAACGCATAACGCATAAGCATAATAAAATTGATTAGTCTATTTTCTTATGCACATGTATATGGACCAATCAGTTTTCTTATGCTTACGCATTATGCGTTGTGCAGAAGTGCATTGACGGTAAAACCAGGATGGAAATTATTCCAACCGAGGATTTAAGGAACATGGATATGAGTGAGTTGGCCAATCTCTCAACTGACTTTCTGGAGAAGATCGATATGATCCGCAGTGATAGTAAGAGCCTTCAAGGACCGCTTAGCGGATCGATTAAGCGCGGCCTTTTCAATATTTCAGACATTTTCGGCATCCTCTTTGAGAGACTAGGTCCGACTTCGACTGATGAATCTTCCCTCAGAGCACAGAATGCGGAGCTTGCTTCGCAACTGAGGGCTCTTAAAAGGGAAGAAGCTGCCAACAGAAAGCAGCAGATGCTCCTCAAGAATGAAAATGACACACTTAGGAAGGAACTCGTTGCTCTCCGCGATAGAGTTACCAGGTTGGAATCGCGTGACGCCGTACCGGCTCCTTCAGTTCCTGTCCTGGAATCATCGCCTTTCGTCATTGGTGAATCCCAGTCAAACAACATGGGTTTTAGATTGGATTATAACAATAAGCTCTAACGAAAGGAAACACGTATCGACGTCGGCAAAACGCCAAGGACCCGAGCTCGCAAAGCGAATTCCCGCCGCTACCTCAGAGAGTGAGGATAGTAGACCAGCGACCCTACGCGAACAAATTGAATCTTCTCAAAAAGCCGGGAAATCCTGAATCTGCGAAACCAAGCACCCCCGTCAGAAATAGAAACCTCGATAGAGTTGCACGTAGCTTTAGGAGAAACTCCGTCATATCAACCTCCGACTACCCGGAGGATTCCGATCAAGGCAACAATGAGGAAATTGGTCGGATTAACGAAGAAATGGCTAAGCTATTGAAACGACGTCGTGAGTTAAAAGCCTCCAAATCCGGTCGAACATCGCAGTCTGCTACGGCACCTCTCGCACAAGATACTTCCAGTGCGAGGCTGCGAAACAGAGGTCCTCCCACGGGCAATAGGAATTCTCGGACTCCTCTAAACTCGAAAATCAACGAACTCCCCCAAAATGCGACAGAGACTCGACGTAGGACAAATAGACGTAGGCCCCCCCCCAAGACGGCCGCCGTAACCAGTAAGGACAACAAGCTATCATACGCAGAGATTATGAGGAAAGCCCGCGGCAACATTGCTCTCGACGAGTTGGGCATTGAACAAGCTCGCATCCGTAAGGGAATCAACGGTGGCGTGATCATTGAGATTCCGGGCAACGATGGATCTTCAAAGGCTGACGTCTTGGCTAGCAAACTCAAAAATGTATTAGACCCCTCCGTTCGTGTCTCTAGACCGAGGACCATGGCGGAACTGCGTATTTGGAATTTAGACGATTCCATTTCCCAAACGGACATTATCGACCTGATCGCGATCACTGGCGATTGCGACCGAGAAGATATAAAGTTGGGCAATCTCAGATCTATGCCCAGCGGCCTCTTCTCTATTTGGATCAAGTGCCCAATTGCAGTCGCAGATAAGGTTGCCTCCAATGGAAGTCTGAAGATCTGCTGGACCGTCGCGCGCGTCGAGATGCTGCCGCCACGCCCGGTTCAGTGCTTCAAGTGCTGGCGGTTTGGGCACGTGCGCACAACCTGCACATATCCAAAAAACCGCTCCGGAAATTGCTTCAATTGCGGAGCTAATGACCACCAATTGGGACAATGCAGATCCAATCCCTGCTGTGTGATTTGCAGAGATTCCGGCAAACCGCACGACCATAGGTTGGGTTCTTCTCCCAGATGCTCGGAGGAAGATGCAAACACCAAATCCAGGGCTGGCACAAGACCTAATGTCGGACGTATCTCGCAACAATGACGCAAATTATCCAGATAAACTAAAATAAGAGCAGGGCAGCTGTTTTTGGGGGATGAATAACGTTAAGAACACTATTGACTATTTAACAAAGGTTTTACTGCTATGACTTTTGTTACAAAATTCCGCGTGCGTGTGGCTGCCGCCATGTCTAATACTTATCTGCCTTCTTTTTGCGCGGCTGGCGCCTCGACGGCTCTCGCGGCGCTACCTCTGAGCTTTCATTAGAACTAGATTTATTTTCCCAACCATGAACATTCCGCCTCTCTTGAAATAACTTTTTTTCAACAAGGAAGTCAATCTCAAATTCGCCAGGGAGTCAGCCTTAAATTCACAACCATTTCAAAGTCAGATAGCAAATTATATTGTCGTTGAATACTCTGAAAATAGACGAGTTAATTATACAAGTCTTAAACTATAGATAAACCTAAAGATAACTAAACTTCAGAACTTAAAATCGGAGCAAAGAAAAAATATTATTTCGCTGAAACAAAACGCTATTGTATTATAATGCAATTTCTTCGAATAAAAATAAATTAAGCTGGCCGTTTCGGTTTACTAAAAAAAGAACGATCTTACATTCTTTACCCGGTGATAATCATAGTGCAATTTTGCACAAGGCTTTCCATAGATATAATCCAATCAATCAATCTAGCGATAATCCATCCTGGGGAATCGGGCATAAATTTCGGACGGATCGCTTAAAAGTGCCGCTATGAGTCCGCACCGTTATAACTCGTACAACATTATCTGGTCCAGGGTGGAGTTCAACAACTCTTCCAAGCATCCACCTTAGAAGGGATAAGTTATCCTCCTTGAGCAATACTAAAGTATTAAGCGTGATGTTGTCTCCTTCTTTGGTCCATTTGCCTCGTTTCTATAGTTCTTGTAGATACTCCGTTTGCCATCAAAGCCAAAATTTTTGACGAAACTTTTGCAGGTGTTGCCATCTTGATAGTTTATTATCTGGAGTCTCGGTCCAATCTTGCTGGACGGGCTGTATTAGAGAATCGCCAATAAAGAAATGGGAAAGAGTGAGGACTGACAGATCCGCTGGATCACTCGACAGAGGGGTCAGGGGTCTGGAATTTAGAATGGCTTCTATTTCAGTCAAAAACGTGTTATATTCTTCGTAAGTAAGCGTTAAACCTTGCGTCAGTGTGTAGAGATGACGCTTCAAGGTTTTCACCGCCGCCTCCCATAAACCACCGAAATTTGGAGTGCGTGGCGGAATGAAATTCCATTTTATACATTGACTCGCGAGATATGTCTCTATTTCGACCTTTTCTTTCTCTAGAAACTCGTAGATTTCTTTCAGCTCCTGAGCCGCACCAACAAAATTCGTTGCGTTGTCAGAGAAGAGCTGCGAACAGATCCCTCTTCGCGCGGTGAATCTTCGTAAAGCTGCGATAAATGCTTCACTGGTGAGATCGGTCACTAATTCTAGATGCACGGCTTTTGTACTAAAGCACGTGAATACTGCTACGTAGCCCTTGGATACGTGCTCTTCCACGACTTTCTCGAATTTGGAGAGGACCGGCATAGTTTACGCCGGTAGTCACGAACGGGCGCGAGAATCCGCTAACTTGCTGAGCTGGTAGATCTCCCATTTTTACTTCAGGGAACGTCGGTCTGAAACGATAGCAAGGCAGACAAGCTTTTATTACCTTTCGAGCTTCTCTTAGACCGCTTAACGGCCAGAACCTGTATCGTACAGCACTCAATAACTGAGTAGGTGGACAGTGGTGTAAACGTATGTGTTCGCTCTTCATTATCAAATTCGTAACGAAATGCTTAGCGGGTAGAATAATCTGATGCTTTTGATCTTCGGACATAGCGATGTACTTCTTGATCGTTTTCTAAGTCTCGAACCTCTTGCGAGAATGCCTCTCGTTGCACCATTCTTGCTATGATTTTTTCGGCATTTCTTAGTTCTTCCACAGTGACAGAGCGATTTCGTGGACCTGCTCGACTGCTGCTTCTCCATCAAAGACAGTAAGAGATAACTCTTTGCAGTTTGCTATAAGAAGAAAATCTCTCGAGAATCTTCTCTGCTGTAGTCGTCACTAATGCTACAGTTACTGGTTTCATCTCCGGTAGTACCGTATCAGGCGCTTTCATGTTTTTCGGCCATTAATTTTCTTCCGTCATTCACTGAGGTCCATGCCACCACAGTTTATCTTCGATTAATCGGTCAACTTCAATTCCTCTCGACAGCAAATCTGCCGGATTATCTTCAGAGGGCACGTGGTACCATTCTATATTCTTTGTTAGCAGTTGTATCTTTGATACGCGATTAGCCACGAATGTTTTTAACACGTTGGGTTGAGTATTGATCCAACCGAGGACTATGGTATTGTCGCTCCATAGTCGCACTGTACGAATACGATCGCCGTAAGCCTTTTTTGCAGTATGATAAAGATCAGATAATAATAGAGCAGCTTCTAGCTCCAAACGTGGCAAGGATATAATTTTTATCGGGGCCACTTTGGACTTCGCCCAGATGAGATAAGATTGTACCTTTTTCGATTTGTCTATGCTCACAGCGTATAAACAAGCACCGTAGGCCTTTTCGGACGCGTCTCCAAATCCCAAAATATCGAACTTCTTTGATGAATTAGCAGGTATGACGTTTCTCGGTATGCGTAATTCATTGACTCTTGGCAAAGAAGTATAGTACTTTTCCCAAGTCGATAGAAACTCCGGAGGAAGAGTTTGATCCCAACCAATTTCAAGCAGCCATAATCGTTGCATGATGCACTTGCCGTTAATGAGTAGCGGCGCTATCAATCCCAGCGGATCGAATACTTGCGAGATCTTCGAGAGTAAAGTACGCTTTGTTGTGACCTTTGTCTCCTCGATTTCTACCTTATATTGCAGGCAGTCTTCTGCCGCATTCCAGAGCAAGCCTAGAGTTTTTTGAGCTCCTTCCTTGTCTAACACCAGCAGCTTATCAGTTTTACATGCCTCGCTGAGATGTTGTAGTATTCTCGAATCATTAGCTCTCCATTTTCGAAGATAGGATTGTCTTCGTGCTAATAACTCGGACAGTTGTCTTTGCATCTCGATTGCTTCTTCCAATGTGTCAGCTCCTGTTTGGACGTCGTCCATGTAGGTTGCTTCTTCCAATGCTTCTGCCGCGAGTGGCAAATCTTTTGCTTCTGCAGCTAACTTCCTCAGACAGCTAATGGCTAGAAAACCCGCACTTGCCTGGCCGTAGGTCACAATGTTCAGCTCACATAACATGATGAGTTCGCTCGGACTTCTTCTCCATAGTATGCGCTGAAGTACACGATCTGGCTTGACCACCAAAATCTGCCTGTACATCATGGCCACGTCCGCCGTCATTACGTACCCATAGATTCTGAATCGCAGGATTATGTAGACTAAATCCTGTTGCAAGTTCGGTCCCGGAATGAGCTTGTCATTCAGTGATGTTCCGAGTGTTGTCTTGGCAGACGCATCAAAAACAACACGCAATTTTGTAGTGACACTGTCTGGTCGTATCACCGCTTGGTGAGGAAGTATGTACCTTCCGATCTTTGAATTTCTTCATCCGATAATACGGACATGTGACCTTGCTTTAGATATCATCCATAAATTTGACATACTCCTTCTGAAATTCTCGATTTTTTGAGAATCTTCGTTCGAGCGACAATAACCGTCGATATGCCTGCTCCTTTGAACCTCCTAGAATTACCTCTGATCGCAGCGGTAGTCGCACAACGAATCGATCGTCTGGTTCTCGCTTGACTGTATTTGCAAAGTACTCCTTGCAATACTTTTCTTCTTCGGTGTATTGAGGGATTTCCGGAAACTCTTCTTGCTTCCAAAATTGTTCGATTTGTCTGCTCAGCATCTCATTCGTGATCGATAAGTGCGTCATTGATGATTTCGATTGCTTTCCAGGTATTTCACCTCCAATTATCCAACCTAAGCGCGTATTTTGTAGAGCTGGTTGTCCAGAAACTTGATTTCTCGGGTTGCCGACGAGGATCTTCCAATAAAGTCCTGCTCCTACTAGTAGATTTATTTGACCAGGTTTGTCAAACACTGGGTCTGCTAAGCGTATGCTCTTCGGCATTGCTATCTGCGTTATGTCGATTCAACTTTGTGGTAACTGCTCCGTAATGTTTAGCAGTATCAAGCATTCAAGATTCGTCGAGAAGTCCTCTTGAAGTGATTCTATTCGAACTGTGACTACCTTGCTGGCGTTCGTCTTTGCTAGATTTATACCGCTGATGGGTCGATGTTCCGTTTTATGCCTCAATTTCAGCTGTCTTGCGAAACTTTCCGTTATCAGGTTCGACTGTGACCCTAGATCCAACAGTACTCGACATATCTGAGGATTTCCGTCGACGTCGTAAGCATGCACCCGTGCCGTTGAAAGAATGATGCTCGATGTCGGCTTATGGACGCAATGAATATTTGTTATGTATTCTTCATCTTCGATCTTCTTTGATGATCTTGAATTTTCAATGGATTTATTTGCACAGTACGTAACCACTGCCGTTGTGTCCGGTTCACTTTCCGCTTTCGTCTGCGACTCTGTATCTCTGTGCAACAAAGTGTTATGACGCATAGAGCACTTCTTGCATGAAGTCGATTTGCAATCTCTTGCAATATGCCCTTCTCCGAGACAATTAATACATAGCCTTTTGCTAACGATTTCCTTTTTCCTGTCAACCGGTGATAGTTTTTGCAACTCTTCACATTTGTAGATTGAGTGAGTTCTTTTGCAGTACTTACATTCCTGCGCCGTGACAGCTAGTGTGACTCTTTTATCACTTTTCTTTTTCTCTGACGGTTTCGTTGTAGCTGACTTCTCTTTCCCTTGGTTAAGAACCCTTAGAGTGTTGCACCGATCCGTGAGAAATTTGAGAAGGATTTGAACAAGATATCTGTTTGATAATCTAGATGTTTTTTTATCTTTCTTTTTTCAAATATCTTTTTAAGAGACTTTGAGCGTTTTATCTCTCTCCATATGCTTTCAAAATTAAATATATATGTATAAGCTAGTACAAGAAACATTTACAAATGTTTTCGATATAAATATGAATAATTTATTAAATAAAAAACAGACAGAAAATATTTTACCGTTAGATAGTATATTTTAATTAATCTATTTAATAAAGAACGCGCTGATGATTATTTATCATATTTATTTTCTCTTATAACATATAAGCCAATTTTATTTTAATTTTTTACAGATTTTATCCTCTTTATTGATGATTTAATATTTTATATCATCTAAACACACGTTTAATAACATGAGATTTAATAATGATTTCATTGAAATATTGCAAAGTGTTTCACAATAATTTTTTATATAATATTTGAAAACATCAGATTTCATAGGAATAATCTTATTAATAATTATATTTCTCACTATTATTTTAATACATTCTATCGAATTGATAATCAAATTGATGATTAAAATGTGACTGTTGAATTAAGTCTCAAGATATGAAACTTTGTTCTAATTCTAAGTATTTCAATACGCTTTTTGATACGAAATCAAGAGACACGGTAGTGTCTCGCGCGGCTGTTCTTCCGAAAACGTCTGTGCTTCGATTTAAGTGAAACTTTGTGGTGAATAGGTTCCTTTTAGATAAAAAAAAAAAAACACATACCAAAAGGATTTTTTGCGACTCCAAAGTTTAGCAACTTTTTTAACATTTTTAACTTGCTGCCTCCGCGCATACATTTTCCACATGAAACAAACGTAAGTTAGTTATAATATAGAAATGGAGTGTGTGACAGTCGTGACAAATAACAAAATATATAAATATTGATATTGACCGTAGAGAGTTGATGCCAAGGAGATCTTTAAGAACTTGCGTATCCAAAATCGCACACGTACGTATATGCTGTCTCGTAAAAGTTGTCAAACAGTATGTTTACGCGAGCGTTACTTCTGTAGTAACTTACGATAATTCCTCCACGTAAATGGGGAATAAGTAATGTACCTGAGACTAATTATTTATTACTAAAAACATTAATAATTATTTTCCACTAATTATTAATTTTTAAATAAGCAGTAATTTATTTTTGTCAAACTATTAATTATTTTAATAAAGAATTTATTTTTATTAATTACTAATTTGCAAAAGAAATTAATTAATTTTCACTTAAATACTAACTTTCACGAACTAGAAATTTTTCTCTGCCAAATTACCAATTTTTTAAGTAATCTGTAATTTACTTTTACCTAAATATCCCTGTTTAACACTATAAAATGCGTGATATTAGTACAAAATTATCTTTTTCAAAAAAGGTAAAAAAAGACGCGAAGTATACGCAATGTATTTTGTAAATTTAAAAATTCAACCTAAGTAGTAGCTTTATTTCTCCTTAACAAAATTATATCATCACAAAATTACGTTACCTAGCTTAACCTAAGTGATATGTGTAAATCCAAAGATCCAACCTAAGCGGTAGTAAAGTAAAGTGCCTATCTTGGATCACTTTTTCCGATTTTGGCTATAACTTTATTAATATAATGATTTAATGAGTCAATTGAGCATGGAAATTTAGATTGGAATCTTAGCTTGAGATTTCTGAAGAAACGGTCCATTTATTTTGCTTGAGATCTTGACATTTTATTTTTTACAGAAGTCTGAATTTGATCCGAATTAGGATTAGTGCACATATTTCGGATGAGTCTTAGATTGAGTTGTAATTCAAGTATGTGGTGTACATACAAATAGATATAAACGATGGTGGATAAAACACAAACGTGAAATATTATCCGAACATTGAAATATCATTTCTGATCCGAATTAGGTGCATGAACCTATGTAGATTAAAATATCAAAGTTTTCACATAGTGGAATTTCATGTTTTAACTTAATTGTTTACTATTTGAACACAAAAATGGTACTTAACCAAATCTCTTGTACCATAAATACAGCTCCAGTTTTTACTTAGAAAAGAATCAAGTAAACTAATATTACACATATTTAAAGTTATATAACTCAACTGGAGGTTTATAGAGCTAATAACAATCATATATCAACCGATAAAACAACATATTATATATATACAGGGTGTCCGAAAAATCGCCTACTCCACTTCGGGAGGTGATTCGGGACCCAAAAACAAACAAAAAAGTTCATACAAACATAGGTTCGGAAATGAGCCGTTTCCGAGTTATAGCCACTTTTATGTTCAAAAATCGTAATTTAGAATCCGCTTGACATCCCTCTTTCTTAATTATTTTTTAAATTAAAAATTTTTATTTTTAAATATCAGCTAATTTATTAAAACTTAAACGATCCATTGATGAATATGGAAAGATTAGATACAACCTAAAAGTAAGGTGTTGTTAAATAATAATTTGAAACTTATTGAAAAACCGTGATTTA